CATGAAATAAGCATCAATTCTGAATAGCGGAGATTTATCAAAAATTAAGAGACATTTTAAAAGGACAGGGTAATTTAAAGTACTAAATAAGCATAATAAAATGTCAGGAACTTATTGCAGATTTTTTCCCTACATGACTTGTGAAATTGTATAAGAATCCCTTTGTTAATTTCCTCCACAGTCTTTTAAAATTCTCCTGATATATCTGTCGAGTTTTTTACGCACATGATCAGCTTGCATATATCCAAGAGTAAAGTCTTCACAGAGTTTAATGGGATTCAAGCTTAGATACTGTTTATTTCACCAGTGTAAATCTATAAAGCAGGACTACACAAATCCTATAGCTGGCCTGCATGGATATTTGTGACCATGGCGTTATTCTAGCTGTTTCTGTGTTTTGTTGTCCAGACATACCTGACCTAGCTTTATGCTATCTAAGTGTTCACCTGGCTTCTTAAGCGATCTTTGCAGGCAGCGTTGAACTCACGACGCCTGTGGCTAGGCAACTTTTGAACTGTCTAAAGTTTGTAGACAAATTTCACTCAGATGTGTCTTTGCAATGTGATAGTCACAAGGCTGACTGGAATATAAACACTCCATCTGTCTCAAAGACATGGCATTTGGATCAGATGGGGACTATTAGCTAAATATTGGCATGACCTTAGTTTTGTTTACAGATATTTTGATTGGCTTGATAAATCCCTTCCTCAATTAAAACCAACATGTCTGAAGATGAAATTATTGTGATAAGCAGTTAGCTAACCTTAGATAGCACTGTGTAGCAGCGTAACACTGCAGTTACTCGGATGTGCTTACATTGTCTTTTAGGGAAAGTTAACTACCATATATTAAAGAGTATTTCAAAGAACTTTGAGAAGGCCGTGCATTTCTTGACAACCTTTAATTGCTCTCCTGCATGTGATATACACATCATTCTGCCAGTAATTTTGCTAAGTTTCTGACAGCTCTTTAGAACTATTTTGGGCTGATGCCGATATCAAAACGGTACTAGAGCTGAGTATCCATTTGTCATCTTATTGGCAACTTTTAGTGAGGTACTAACACTTCTGTTGTTCAATCAGGACTGTGAGGGCTGTCTTAGTGCAAGAAAAAAGGCTCCTTCTGCAGGTCAGCAACTCCATGCATGGCTTAAATCAGTCCATGAACTGAGTGTTCACAAATGCATGTAGTAGACAGAAAAAGTGAGCAGGCCTTGAAATAGTTGGTGATGGAACTATTTATGTCTTCCATGAAACTCAGTTTATTTTGAAGACTGGTAGAGGGTGAGTTCTTTCTAATAAGACATGATAACTTTAAGACTCAGTTATTTTCTTTTTCATAATGCATTTTGGAAGAAGTAATCTTAAAATCTTTGCCTCATTATGATTGGTATTTTGAATTAAAATCCTATGATAACAAATATAAAATTTATACTTGATGGTTCTCCCAGTTTATATCTGTTTATGTCCATGAGAGACCATGTGCAACAAGAACTGTACTTTTCTGTCTTTTCTTTCAAAACCTGAACACATATTTACCATACAATTATATTACAATTGTATTTTCTGCCTCTGCCTAGGAAAACAAAATATCATTCAAAGGAACTTTCAGTATTTTTTGTTGTTGTAGTGATATAATAGCTTACTTGTATTTTTTTTATTGTTATTGTTTTTAATTTGAATTTCACTGGGAATATGTGAGGCTAGATGCTGATTTAATTTGACAATAAGAAGTGGCTGCTGCTTAGTTTTCTTCTGTTTCAAGATTAAAACTTTACTGTGAGTAAGACCAAATTCTCTTTAGCATTAACAGGCAGTGCTTCATTTTTTTGCACTGGAAGAGAATTTGACCCAGCACATTCAGGAGAAATTATCGTCTCATAATCTATTTATATACTTATCTGTAATGATTAAACAAAAATGAATTCCAAGCACTGTGTTCTAGTCCTGAACTTTGTCCCTGATCCTGCCAAGATTCAATTGCATGCCAATTTGCATCACTAAGTCTAGTCCCATTAATGTTCACCAGAACTCCTTAGTGTTGAACTTACAGCTAGATGTGTGCATAAACCCTAGAAAGATCAGAGCCCTTTATTCCATGTAAGCTGTCTTGGTAAAAGAGCTAGCTGTAGTTCTCCGCTATTACCAATTCCTATATAATGACATTTATTACTGCATTTTGAGGCAAGTCTCATTACCAGAAGCTGCTAGACTCCTATTCAGTTATTAGCTGGGTACAATTAGAGTTGCATTAATCAGTTGTGCTTGTTCAGCTGAGTTCAGGTTTTCTTTTGCTGAAGGGAAGATCCAAGTTTATAATCCAGTACTTCAGACAATTTGAAACCATGACCTTAAATAATCCTGCATGTTCTGACCATAGGCAGTCAAAGAAGTGTGTGGTACTTAATGAATTAGAGAGAATGGTTATCATCTTTAACCACTGTTTGTACTCAGTTTAATGTCTGTTTTTGCAAAAATAGATCTAGTCTTCCTAAAGTTTGGTACACATCAAAGTCTTACATGACAAGCCAACCTGCCTATTTTTTCAGAACCATCTATCTTTTCAGGTACTTTAAAACTCCTCGGCATCTCTTTGCTAGTCTGAAATTTGGGGGATGCAGGCAAAAATTATTCATATTTACACGTGAAGATTCCTGTCTATCTTCAGCTTTGTGCCAGATGGCTTCTTAAGCTTTAGACAAATTAACTGTTACCCACCTGAGATAAGCTTCCCACAGAACTGTGGTATTTAACTGTTCCTCACTTTGCTCAGTAGCTTCCCCAAGGAAAGCTCTCTGAGTTTTGAGTGGCTGATATACCTGCACTTCTTCATTCTAAGGGGCTTGGGGATTGGTGCAAGAAAGTCCCAAGTTAAGCATAGTTCCCAAACTTCAGTGATTTTAATTGCTCTCTGGAGATTTTTGAAGACTATGGAGAGGGGAAGGTGTCTCTGTGGGAAAGGGAGGTGTCTGACAGAAGCTGTTGGCCTACTAGGGCCAAGTTTGCATCAATTCTGACTATCCAGGTTAGAACAGGATTTATACTTAGTTTTGGGTGAGCTAACCCTGGAGAAAGTAAAATACCAATTTAGATCTCAATTTAGAGGTTAATGTATACCCTGTGGGATTGGAAGGAGAGCGATATAAGTAAAAAAACCCAACATGCCTTTCAGTGTAAGAGTGGCATTATTTTAGAGTTAGCTTACATTGCCAGTAAGAGTTATCTGAATAATGTTCAGCAGTGTGGTGGGTTGACCCTGGCTGGACATCAGGTGCCCACCAAAGCCGCTCTATCACTCGCCCCCTCAGCTGGACAGGGGAGAGAAAATATAACAAAAGGCTCCTGACTTGAGATAAGGACAGGGAGACATCACTCAACCAATTACTGTCATGGGTAAAACAGACTCGACTTAGGGAAAATTAACTTAATTTATTGCCAATCAAACCAGAGTAGGGTAATGAGAAATAAAACCGAACCTTAAACACCTTCCCCCCACCCCTCCCTTCTTCATGGGCACAGCTTCACTCCTGAATTCTCTAGCTATGCCCCCCACCAGCGCAGGGGGATGGGGAATGGGGAGTGGGGTCAGTTCATCCCCTGTTGTCTCTGCCACTCATTCCTCCTCGGGGGGAGGACTCCTCACACTCTTCCCCTGCTCCAGCATGGGTCCCTTCCATGGGCTGCAGTCCGTCAGGCCCAGACTGCTCCAGCGTGGGTCCCCCGTGAGTTCAGAAGTCCTGCCAGAAAACCTGCTCCAGCGTGGGCTCCTCTCTCTACGGGGCCACAGGTCCTGCCAGGAGCTTGCTCCAGCGTGGGCTTCCCACGGGGTCACAGCCTCCTTCGGGCATCCCCCTGCTCCGGCGTGGTGTCCTCCCTGGGCTGCAGGTGGATATCTGCTCCCCTGTGGACCTCCCTGGACTGCAGGGACACAGCCTGCCTCACCATGGGCTTCCCCACGGGCTGCAGGGGAATCTCTGCTCCGGTGCCTGGAGCACCTCCTCCTCCTCCTTCTTCACTGACCTTGGTGTCTGCAGGGTTGTTTCTCTTACATGTTCTCACTCGTCTCTCTGGCTGCTGTTTCTGTGTCTGCTGCAACATTTTTCCTTCTTAGATCTGTTATCCCAGAGGTGCTACCACAGTTGCTGATGGGCTTGGCCTTGGCCAGCGGTGGGTCCATCTTGGAGCCGGCTGGCATTGGCTCTGTCAGACATGGGGGAAGCTTCTAGCAGCTTCTCCGAAGCCACTCCTGTAACCCCCCACTACCAAAACCTTGCCACACAAACCCAATACAAGCAGGTACACTGACACCAAAGATGCTAAAAGGAAGATAAATCCTAGTGGCCTCAGCTAAAGAAAGGAGTACAGAGCTTGTCCTGGCTTATTAAGTCCTGGAAATCTGAAAACATGGAAGATCTTATGAGAAACTTGCATTGGCTAAACCAAATCAAATTCAAAAATCTTTTGATGAACGAGTGCAAAGGCAATGTGGGCTGAAGGGAATAAGTCTGAATTGAAAGGAGAAGAGTTGCTTAGGTTGAGCTAAATGGATTTCCTAGTGATTTTACTCTAAGTAAGGATGATTTCAGTGCTGATGAGATGAGAAAATCTGGAAAGATCTTTTGGTGTGGAACAAACATGCTAAAGGTCCTGTGTGTTGAGGCAATGGGAAAAAGTGATATGTTGCATTTCTTTCTAGTTTCATGTCAGTCATCCTAGGTTTTGACTTTGAGCCACTGTGCTTAGCACTGCGTTTCTTTAACAAATTGCTGCTGAGGTAAATCAGGATCATGATGGTAAAGTGGTATAGACTGTAATTTACAACAATTTTTGTTGGGTAGGAGGAAAGAACTTGTCTTCCTGAAAAATATACAATCCATATTTCTCAGTAGTTCTACTTGAAGAATTTACAGTTCTAGATCTTACAGTTGTTGGGGAAGAAAATATTTAAAGTGATTACTTATGTTTTCTGCAAAATAATATTAATTTTTTTTTTCTTCACAGTAAAACCAACAGTTATTGATGTTGACATTTATGTCAACAGCATTGGTCCTGTATCATCAATAAATATGGTAAGTGACTTGCTAACAAAGATTTTTATCTGGACTGCTGGTCTTGGCATCAATAATAGCTTTTGAAAAAAACAATAAGTACCACTGGAATAAGTTGTTTTGATGGCTGATTTAGTTCTGTTTTCAGCTATAGCTCTGTTTTTCAGATGACTTTTTTGTGTCTCTTCAAGAGAAGAACAAACCTACAAGAAATATTATGCTCTGTGTTGTCTACCACAAAGTTCTGGTAGATCTTGAATAGTAAAATAGCCATCTTAGGAAAAAAATAAGTATGAAGCAAAGCTATTGTCAAGAAAATTCCTGAATTAATATTTCAAGAGTCAACTGAATATACAGAGCTTCATAATGTGGAGTTAATGAGAGTCATCACATACTATCAGTATATTAATTTGAAATTCACCATCCCTTCAGTGGTTACTTTTCTTCCACTGAGTTATCAACAATCTTTAGCCTTGAAGTATAATTTTGAGGAAGTTATACATAGCTGTACTGCATGTGTAAAGGCAGGAGAAACTGAAAGAGTCTGTGATATAGTGTGACAACAGTGAATTTAGCAAAAAGTAACAGTTGGTCAGCTGTGGTCTTCTTAATTCCAGGACATTCTTCACTTCTGCAGCAACATATTCAGATTTAGAACAAGCTGGATGTTTATGTAGCTATGGAGGTATGGGTTACTGTGGCCGCTTGTGCAACTTCAAGTTAGAATTCAGCACAGTATTCCTCTTTGTAAACTAGACTGAATTTTTTCTTAATACAACTTGGAAACGGAGGACCTGTTAATATCTTTATTTACTTAAAACTCTTATACTAACCTCTTTGAAGCAATGACTTTCTCTTGTTCACAATGACATTCAAAGGCTGCTGTGTACAGTGGTCATGTAAGAATCTAGTAAATGCACTGCACGTATGTTTTCTATTTTTGAAACAAAAGCTCCTGAATTTGAAAGGTGGTCATTCAGCCTGACTTTTTGTTTTTGCGTATCTATATGGGAGAATGTAAATTATTGCAATGTGTCAAATGCTGGGTGGTCAGAGACTCCTACGCCCCCTGGCAATGGGAAATCTGGCAAGTAAAACCAGAACAAATTATGTGCAGGGAACAACTTGTCCACATATTCAAAGAGTGTGAAATGTATTGGTCATATTTCATGTGAAGCACTGAATGTCAAGCAATGGGAGTACCTGCTCCATTCTTGAACTAATAAATAGCTAATTATCTCGCCTTTTCCCCGACTGCGTACCAAAATGACTTGTCCAGGGAATGATTTATCGGAAGATCTATTCTGCTTACGGTCCTCTGGCTTGCATTTATGTATACTCTAGGAATGGGTACTCTGTTCAAAAGCAATGGGGACAACGGTGAGGATGCTTACTTTTCAAAGTCTTTTTGCTCTTTGGCCCTCTGAATTAGCTTGTAAGTAGCATTTTGGGGTGCTGGAAATGTATGTGCAATAATAATTAAGCAAGTATTTGATTGGACCCGCTTCAGGTAGGAAGAAGGAAAAAGTAATAATAGAAGGAACCAGTGTTTCTTGGAAGATTATTATGGCACAGTGAAAACATGACTAGTTTACTTATCCCTTAACTTTGAGTTCAGGACATCTTATGGCACCAAGATGGAAAGATGCACCAAGATACCAATTTAAAAAATGCATACTGTATCTCTTTGATAGTAGATGGTTTTATTAGGATAGTTAACAAGTGTATGGCATAGAGATATTTCGTGGTTACAGCTGAAAAAACCTACCTATAATCTGTAAGGGCAATGATAAATAAAACAATGATGAAATATAAAATTTAGGTACCTGAAGTTTTAAGGACTCAAGTCTGCTTAAAGCTATATTTAAACCTTTGAATAGAAATAGATGTTGTTTCAGATATGCTTGTGGACAGTACATCCCACTGAAACTAAATCTGAACTAGCTAAGCACTTTTGAGTTTTACTTCTGTTCTCAAACCTAATTATCAATATAGGAGATTAACATTAGGCACTCAAATGTTGCAAACTTTGTCCAAAAGTTCCATTTCTGCACTGTTACTTTGGAGTTTGTCCAAACTTACACGAGAGAGCAGAAATGAACTTGCAGTCTCAAATTTACAATGAAGATGGGAAGTCCTCCTCACAAACCTACAAGCTATGGTGCTGTATGATAACTTGTCTCTCCAGTGGCAGAACTTATTGAAGAGCTACTTTTCCCCCCATTTGTGTTGTTTCAACTGTTTGGCTACAGTATTCAGTAGCTCTGTGATGCACTGCTGGAAAAAAAAAAAAAGTAAAACACTTTTTGGAATTAAAAATAATAATTTAAAAAATTAATTAATTAATTTTTAAGTAAGCAGTTTTTTGTGTAGCCTGTGAACTGCTGGAGCATGGGTGCACAAACAGCTGAACATAAACAATAGCTGGAAATTACCTGTGGCAGAGGAAGAGGAAGGAAGGGACCATCTTCAGTCTGATTCCTGTCATATAACTGAACTCTCAAAGGGAGAAGAATGTGTGAAAATCATGTACAGAATTTAGAACAGTATTCTGGGAGAAAAAAGGGAGTATTCTTGCAAGAATCTACATATGCTATATATGCTATATTTCTCAGCAGGACAGGAACTTTTAGCTTTTCTCCCCTAAATTATTATTAAAAGTTGAGCTATTCTGTCAAGGCAACTCGGCAAGATGGTAGTTGATTGAGCAAAAAGAAAGACGATTACATTGATTTCCATCTCTTCTATTTCAAGAGTGAGATCATCAACATGTACAAGGAGGACTTCCCTGCTGTGTACTTCCAAACTTAGCCCTTAGCTCTATCACTTTTTTCTTAATCTGCAGCACTTCTGAGGGAAAATCATGTGGAGCTTCTCTAGAGATCAAACTCTGCAGGTATATTTTCTTATCAGTTTTCATCAGCGCTTTTCATCTTGTGGGTGAAACCTAGGAAGTAAAATAATTTTCTTTAAGTTATCTATTCAATGGGTGTTCAGTTGAATGTTCAAGCCAATTTTGTAGAGCAAAGCTTTTCAGATGTCAATAACTTTGTTGTAATAATGATTAGACTTCAGTATGAATATTAATATCTCACTGTTTCTTTAACAGTCAGGAAAAAGCAGTTGCTACCAGACACCTACCTACAGCAAAGATAACCTCAGATGAATTGTATGTGAATAATTGTGGCCCTGAGGAAAAAGGAATCCTCTTAGACTGAGGCTGGAAGTGCCACAGGGGGAAGAAATGTTAGGGATCCCTTCAAAAAGGCTTGCAGTCAAGGGAAAGGTAACGTTCTCTGTGACAAAGATGGCATAGTCCACAGAAATATACGACTGACCCTGCCTTCCAGACTGTTTGCAGAGGGTTTATGCTACTTCCCCTAAAGGCCTTACCAGTGATTCATTTCCTAGTGGCTTTCAAAAATATCTATTTAGAACCTCAAGATTTTCAGAAAAAACAGGAGTGATTGTGAGAAGGTAATGTAGATGCTTTTCTTTTAGCGACTCACCATTATAACATCATTATGATGACAATAGAAACTTGTTTTCTGGATAAAGAGTGGTGACTCTTCCTTTGTCTGTGACATGGAACATTTCTTTGGGGCACAGTTTAAAAAAAGCTAATGTTAAGTAATTTCTTAATGTTAAGAAATAGGAATTGTGTAAGAATAACAAGTAAAAGCAGGCTGAATAATGAACTGAGTGATACTAGGAGGTAGTCTCAAGTGGCAGTGGCTTTGAAGAAGAAAGTAATTTCAGCATTTTGAGCTATGTTATGGTGTTATGAAATGACAGAAATGATTGATACTAGACAAGAGTATTTTGAAATTTAAAACTCTGAGATGTTTGAATGCCCATTAAAAATTTTAGGGTGGCTTTTTAACAGATAAAAGCAATCTATTGCATAAATATCATGATGCCTGTCCTTTATCAAAAATATAATCGAATGTGAGCTTGGACTGATTTAAAAGAAACATAAACTGGTTGATATAACAGTAAATGACACATGGATGTTCTGAGCTAAATTAAATCTTCCTGTGTGCATATTATATCCCTTTGTCTTGGTTTTCATCTCTTCATAAATTTACAGAAATCTGCAACTTGCCATTTCATGTTACAATGTCATTAGAGACCCTGGCTTGTAGGATGCAATATTCATATCTATCACAAGATTTTAGTTCAACCTTTTCTGTATTTAAAAACTTTGTTATATCTGTAATCATAATGAACATGCTTCCACTGCTGTTAGGGATCTTCTAAGTGAGTTTTTTAAATTTGAAAATTCATCTGCAATCTTACTTTTATTTTTTCCCCAAACTTTATATTGTAAAACAGGCGTATAAATTTCAGATTACTCAGTTTTCATATCTTAGTGTCTTTTTTTTTAATGCTTCCTATGCAATATGGTGTCCAGGAAGCATATACTTTTGCATTAAAATCCATGCTCCAATTTTTGTCAACAACCCAGTTCTTGTCAACAGCAGCAAAGGTTTATAAGTTGATTTATAAAACTTAGATCTTAATGTGGCTTACTGTAGCCTGTTTTTCTACAGATAAGCAGTACTGGCTTGTGTATAAAAGAACAGAAAAAGGAGAGAGACCATGACAATATGCAAAGTGGGAATCAGATGTAACTGATGGGAAAAATCCCCTAGTAGTTTTGTGAGATAGAAATGTAAACACACTGAGATTACATAGGCTGTTAAACGTCAATAGCATCAAAATCTGTGTGTTTGTGTGTACGCACATCCAGTCTTAACTGAGTAGCTACAGGAATCTGAGGCTGCAGCAGAAGCTGCTGGTGAAGGAAGAATTTGACACCTATATGGTTTTAGCGACTGGAATCTCATTTTAATGCAGCTGTACAGAAAATATGTTGAAGAGACAGTGTGAGAAACAAGCTTATAAACTGTACTTACCTGTTCATAAAACTATTAATTGGTTATCTGCTGGATATATGCACATCTCTGTTCTCAGGTAATCTGAAAAAGTAATTCATAGAGCATTTCTTTTGTGTTTCA